TGAAGAAGATCCTAAAGATCATGCCCTCATCTCCATCAGATTCTATGTCTTGCTATTTGACTATATATTGCTCTCTAGCATAGTTCTGCTTTGGAAGCTGTAATTTTTGGAAGTTCAGTCTCAGTTGTTTCAACTGTCTCTTCTGAAAGGCTCGACACTAGATAAATGCCTCCTTAGAAAAATAGATGCCATAAATGTTGGAGTTCAGGCGGCTCGTGACATGGCATGCAGCTCGTGACATGGCATGGTCGTTATAACTGTTGCACTACATGGCGTGGCTCTTTTATTTTTAAGTTTTCCTTTTGTGAAGAACGAGTGTAGCGCTTATTTTAGTTGGTTTGTTACATTTTATTTGTAAATCATAGTAAGCAAACGACGTCGTCTCCTTTATGAATTCTCTTTCATCGTGTTGCATGTGACTGTATATATACAGTCACGTTGTACGTACTCTGTGATTCAAGAGTTTCCGAGCTAAGAAGAAAAATGGTTGCCCCAAAACATTCTCTAGTTTGGTAGGAATTTAACAATAAATGATAGAAACTTTGACGACCTCTTTCCCATGCTGGCTAAAAGGGTTTAAGTGGTCAGATTTACCATCTTTTGTCGGAATCTTCCATTTTGTTATATTTATTATATTTTTGTTGCAGTCTTCAACTTATATGTGTTAGCTACCATTAATACGAGACATTGTTACCAATAATAGATATTGGAAAATGGCAACATGCCGAAATCTCGCCATGGCGCTCTGTGGCACCACCACAATCACCAATCACCGTCCTTTACAAATTTCTAATTGTGGCTTGACAGAAATTCGTTGCACCATACCACCATGGCGAAAATTTGATAACACAATCCAAAAGATTGATACCATATTTAATTCTGGATGACTGATTCTCTGATGCTATGTTTGGATGATTGATTGTCTACGGCTATGTTTGGTAAACCTAGCTAATAAGCTAGCTTAAAGCTTCTAATTGAATTTCTAGCTTATAGCTTTTAAGTGAATTTCTAGCTTATATAGCTTTTAAGTGAATTTCAGCTGATAGTTTATGGCTATGGCTGAAAAACTAGCTTATATGATAAAAGTGTTTGGTAAAATTTGTTGATAAGTTAGTTGATATAAAAATTTCAATGGGGCTTATTTGAAAGCTACCCAAGGAAGTTTATTTAAAAGTGTTTGGTAGGAAGCTCGTCCTACCAAACCGAGCTTATTTATAAGCTAATCAAATAAGCAATAAGCTAGCTTATATGCTTACCAAGCATAACTTAAATGATGACGATAGTTATGAGAGATGGATCTTGCATCCAACGAAGTTCGTCCTAGTCATAGTTAAACTGATGGAGAATCGTATTTGCCCTTTATTTATGTCTATCGACTGCAAGTCCTCTTATCATAGTCTAGTTTCTGACTTTCTGGTAGCAGTTGTAATGTCCTATGCCCGTTCACTCATGTTCTAATTCAGTAAATGTTGTGTAAAGTCTCAGTCATTTTACTAAATCTTTTATCTTCATATGTATCTTAGCACCTTTTGGCCTCCTTCCCATGTTATATTGATTGCAATATTCGGGACTGATTCAAGTGCTGTCTGTCTTGGCAGTTTCCTAAATAGCAATTATATTTTTTTAGTAAACATTATTTAGTGACTAGATAAGTCACTAGCATCAATTATGTATGTTCAGAAGTTTGTGGAGATCCATTTAGTTCAGTTGAGTTTGCCTTGTATCTGCGACACTTTATTGGTTATATCGATATGTATTTTCTCAAAATAGTTCTGATCTTCTGTTTATTTCTTGCTCTTAATGATAGAATAAAGACGTCACCGAGGCAATCCAGAAAGTTGCTGCTGCTTATGACTGCAAGATTGTTGAAGGAGTACTTAGTCATCAAATGAAACAATTTGTGATTGATGGTAACAAGGTTGTCTTAAGTGTCTCGTCACCTGAGACGAGAGTTGATGAGGCCGAGTTTGAGGAAAACGAGGTGTATTCCATCGACATTGTTACAAGTACTGGTGAAGGCAAGGTAGTTAAAAATTGCAAGATGTTTATCACATTTTATTTTACTTTTTCTGCTTGAATTTTTATGATGGAGCTTTTTGTGGAACTTGCAGCCAAAGCTGTTGGATGAGAAACAAACAACTATTTATAAAAGGGCTGTTGACAAGAGTTATCACTTAAAGATGAAAGCATCTCGATTCATATTTAGTGAGATAAGCCAGAATTTCCCAATCATGCCATTTTCGGCGAGGTTAGTAGTGTGTTATTAGTTATAACCTATGAAGTTTCGTGCAGTTCGAGTGCCTGTAATATTACTGTTCATTTTCCCCAATCAAACTGAAGATAAAGATTTGGTCTACCATGTATTGCAGGGCATTGGAAGAGAAGCGTGCTCGTTTGGGCCTTGTAGAATGTGTAAATCATGATCTTCTACAACCATATCCTGTCCTTCATGAGAAGCCTGGTATGAATCACAGATTGACCCAAGTATCCGCGCTTTTTTATATCTTCTCATATATTTTGGTTGCTTGATGGCTTTTATATGCAGGTGACCTAGTTGCCCATATCAAGTTCACTGTTTTGCTAATGCCAAATGGGTCGGATCGAGTCACTTCTCATCCTCTACAAGAACTGCAACCCACAAAAACAGTAGACGATCCTGAGGTTAAAGCGTGGTTATCATTGCCCATAAAGTCTAAGAAGAAAGGTGGAGGCAAGAAGAAGAAAGGTCGTTTGGAAATATAGTCTCTCGATTTTTAAAGTTTTTGTCCATGAATTCATTATAATCCATATTTCTCTACCATTTTGCAAAATACTTGTCCATAATGTCATTTTTTATGATTTTTGCAGGTAAGAAAGCGGACAAGGGTGAAGATACGGCTGATGCTGAGCCAGTGAACGAGACTGTCAATGGGGAAACTGCCTAAGAATTCAATATATCTTTTCTTTAGTTTTTGTATTGTCTCTTCTAAACATGGTGGCATACATTGTAGTTGCTTGCCGTTTAGTCGAATGTGGGCCCTCTCTAAATACTAGCAAATGTGTCTGTACTTTCTACTCTACTTCGGGTCGGGCCTTAATTTTTTTCAATAGAAATAGATGTCAAAGTAATTTGAAAAGTATCACTTGTGTTTTTGACACTTTGCCCTTTTTCACTGATGCTCACAACTGTTTTCATGCGTGCTATATTATCTGCATATTAAAATGAATTTTTCGGTCAATATGGTTATTACAAATGATTTCAGTTGTGTTGATTATTTTCTGCTCTCGATGTCTCATGTCGACTATAAGCTGAATTGTTTTGCCTTTAAATAAGATAAGGTGGTTAAAATAAGATTGTCGAATGATGATCTAACATGTTAAAATCAACATCTAAGATGTATCTGAGGGTAGGAAGGTTAGTTCTAAGGTTTTATGGTTTACCTTGAACAAATTGGTTCAATAGCTTGTAAATGATGGGTTTAACTGATTAAGATCTATTGGTATAGATGTCCGATTGTGTGGAGGTTATTTCTCAGGATCTTACAATCTTTCGACCAATATCAATTCACAAATGGCTAATTCGAATTTACGCAATCTAACGAGCTTGTTTTTATAGAGTTCGTCTCCCACACAAAATCCCTTTTGCTCGGAATCCAAAAGATCCCAACAATCCAACGGAAGAGATTCATTGCAAGGAGGTTCATTGCAAGTAGCGCTGTTAAGAGGTTCATTGCAAGTAGATACCGAACCAAACTTCTCGCGCACAAAGGTCATTCGTGCTCGTTTGTATTTGATAACTCATTCGTTTAGCCATCGATCCAATCTCGGACGTGAAATTATGCTAATTTAGTTGTCGAACGAACACGTACAAGTTCACGAACTAAACGATCGTTTGTGGACGAAAAAAGTATTTTTTAATTTTATATTTATATATAGTATGTACATATAAAATATAATATATTTATATATATATTTAATATTAAATAAAATAACTTTTAAGGTATTAAAATAAAAGTAAAAAAAATCAACAAACACGAACACGAACTTGTCGAACAATTCGAACAGTTCACAACAGGTTCGACTATATAAACAAATGAACACAAACTTGTCGAACCATTAAACGAACAAACATGTTCAAAAATTAGTCGAACTGGAGCTCGAAAATCTTAAGCTCAACTCGGTTCGATTCGATAATAGCCCTAACTGCAGGTAAGTTTGAACTGTATAAATCATTGCAACATATAAGTGAAAGACCAAGTGACTCAGGATTGAACATTTGCTTCCTCGTTTGTTCTGTATATTGCGTACGAAAAGCAAAATCACAGGCAACCTCAAAAATTACAAGGCTAACTTTTCTCATAAATTACAATGCACCTAAGGTTCCAATACCCAAACCCTTTCTTAGGTCATGTTTTTTTCAATGTAACGGCGATAACATCAATTTCTCGCAGTTTTGTTCTGAGGTAAGCCTCTCAAACTCACCCTCATGCCCCATAAAACTATTGACATGAAAGGTTCACACTATTTACAGTGTGGTGGTAATGAACACGCTGTCGACAAAAATTACCAAAAAAACCAAGGAACAGAGAGTGGCGCCTCGGATATCAAATAAGAAGTAAACCAACAAAAGAATCTCGTGTAGTGCATGTCTCACAAAGCCAAAGAATCTTCATTTCTCCTGTAAAAGAGTATATAACTGAGAAATCAGGCATAAAATGTGCTTCTTCTCTTTTTACATATGATGAAAATTAAAGCATGTACTAAATAATGAATGAACTAAATATTCATTATGTGCTTATTTAATTTAAATATAACAAATATGCACTATGGATGAAGTAAATATGCATTTCGTATGAACAAAATATGCATAATGAATGAACTAAGCTCATGACAGTCGCGTGGACCAGCAAAAATTTACCAAAAACATGGAAGCTCACAAAGGTTCGCGGGAAATTTAAGAGGTACCCTCAGAACACAAAAAACGTATTTCCAACTGGAAGTTTGGCGAGCCACGTGTAGCCTTATGGCATGTGTAACGCTTGTTTCAGTTGAGCAAATGCAGAAGGATGCATTTTGGACATGGCATTGTTAAACAATTCTCCATGGAGGGCTGCACAAGTCTGCAGATTGTCCCTCAGTAAATTTTCCAATGAGATTTGGTTTATCGGGTCACAGAGCTTGATCTGCAGAATGTTAATGAAAAGAATGTTAACTTCATGAATAAAAATATGATTGTCTAGGTCTGTAAAAGAGCCGAGCCTGAAATGAAACTCGAGCTCGCCTCGTTTATCACTAATAACGAGTTGAGTCGAGTTCTAGCCGATTTTGAGCTGAATATTGAAAATTCTATAAAAAAATCTTGTTTCGAGCCTTAACGAGTATTATCGAGCCGAGCAGAGCTCGACTCGTTAACCAAACGAATATATGATTGTGTAGGTCTGTAAAAGAGCCGAGCCTGAAATGAAACTCGAGCTCGCCTCGTTTATCACTAATAACGAGTCGAGTCGAGTTCTAGCCGATTTTGAGCTGAATATTGAAAATTATATAAAAAATCTCGTTTCGAGCCTTAACGAGTCTAATCGAGCCGAGCAGAGCTCGACTCGTTAACCAAACGAGCTTTAAATGAGCTCGAGCTCGATTCGTTTATCGAACGAGCTGAGCCAAACTCGAGCCGAGATCGAGCCAACCGAGCTTGATCCGAGCCGAGCCAAGGATTATTAAATTAACAGCACTATGATTGTGCAAACAACAAGTCAAAACGTGGTGAAACTGAAGTGTACCTGTCTCTTCCTGAACTCTTTGCCCGGTACCGGCTGGCTAGAGTGCATACTGTCACTACTGTTTCGGAACAAGCAAAAGTTACTGTAAGATAATGGAAACTAATGGAGTGTCCTTATTTCGGAAAATGGGGACTCGGGTTTCACGTGGTTACAGAAAATTGCATTTCAAGATTTCAAATACTCCTCTCTTAAAACGATATGAGCAATACCCTTGAGTTTGGAAGTAATAAGATACTCTGCTCTTGAGAGTGCAATTTGTAAAAGATGGGTATTTGAAATTTTAAAAACATAAATGTTGTTAAACCCTAGAGTTGGCTCTGGTTGCTGCAAGCGCTCAACACAGTTATTCATAAAATCAAGCATGTATTAACATTAAGTCATAATTTCATTCAGTTCAAACCTTGATTCTTCTTCAGTCAGGTCCTCACTTGCACCCAATATTACGCTTGTGCATACACTACCAGATTCGGGGAAAACAGCACATCAAAATTGTGTAAAACCAACTGAACAAGATGAGAGAAAATAAAGACTACGCTGATGAAAATACCTTAGAATCTGATCAAGTTTATCAAGTACTTGATGCATCCTCAATGTTAAAATTATGGAGAGGGCCAAAGCAAATATCTTTCTTTGTGTGGACAAGACATTGTCCACCTGCAATCACATGATACATATAATAAAGGAAATAACTGTGTATGAACATGGGCAATGCATACGGCAGAAACTGAATAGCAGTCTGAAAATGTGAAAGATAAACAAGTATAGAATATATCGAGGAACTTGAAGTGATCATTTTTGTTCTGACAGCATAAGGAATTTAAGGGGGTGCTTCCATACAAACAAACCCAATTCATAATCAAAATTTAATTCAACCCCACTATCATCAATATTATAAATATAATTAAATAATACCAATCAATCATTCTTATTTCTTATACATCACATTAAATTTAATTCACTATTCATATACTCACCTAATTTTACTCACATCATCTCTCCTACTTTTACATCAAATCAACTTTCATTATTTTATTTTAAATATAATTTTAATATAAACTCAAAATCCCACTAACAACTAACCATACCACCTTTTTTCCAAATTAACTCTGGTTAACCAAAAAAACACGTTTTGAGCGGATATATTTATATACAAGCACGCCCTAAACATCCAGAGCTCACCTTATCAAGCCATACATCAACCAGGCACAGAAGAATGTTTTCCTCATTCGAGAATCCAGCTGTCTGGAGATATGCTAACAGTGATGGTCCGGTTGTCAGCTGTGCAAGATAATTGGTATTCATGACCAAAATCCTCGCAAGAATGGCTGCAGTGGATGTTTTTACAGCGGTCTTGCAAGGATCGCGATCGTCTCCGCCACTCAGGCATATGACAATTAATTTCTACAAAAAATTTGGAAATTTCAAGTATCATAAATTCATCGTAGAAATTGTGTTATAAGCAGTTCATTTTGATTAATAGTCTTAGAATAGCCAGATATGCATGAAGGTAGTAAAGACAACCAAATAACCTGTATAATGCTGCTGATTAATTGGGGAACTTCAGCCGGGAAACACTGCATGACCAAAGTAGATAAAAGCTAAGAGAAGTACAAATATAACTTGTTCCACAATTCAAATTTAGAATACGAGGACAAAACCGCAAGTGACAATTCAACTTCTAAAATGAAACACACAGTCGTATTGCCCACTGGCCACAGTCAAAAGAATTACTTCAATTTTCTTAACAAATGCATGGTCCACAAATGTCCGCTTATAATAACTATCGATCTTCCACTTAAAGCTTAAAGCTTTTACTTCAAAAACTGAGTCTGGAATCAACTACCTGAATTAAAACATCGACAAGAGGAAGAATCGAAAGCAGCCCTCTGTCGTTGACATTACCAACAACCAAATCAAGAACTTTGGCAAGTGTTGTTGCATGCATATTGAGGAATTCAACACCGCCAAGAACAATATAGCCTTCAATAATGTTGGAAGCCACCTTCAAGTGACTAAAACTTCTTTCCAAGATTTCCACCAGACACGGGAAATAACCCAACAGCGGAGGAGAAATTGAGGTGGCGTGAGAAAGAGTAACTTCCCATAGCTGCATGAGATCACACACACACACACACACACACACAAAAATTAAGATATTAAGATAGTAATGGAAAATCAATGATGCTTACGGACAACTACAAACCTGCATGCTGTCTTCCAGAAGCTCGTCAGGGCTATTTGCATTTAGCACACTTTGTAAGATGGGCATCAAGAGGTTGTAACAGATGGGTGACTGATAACCAAGTGCTGCTACAAAGTTTTTTAGGGCTGTGAGAAGCTGAATCTGCAGAAGGCTTTCACCAGAAGATTCTTCCCACGCCTGTGAACATGTAGAAATATGAAAATGGTAGCAAATTAGAAAGAAAGAGCGGAACATATACAAAAATGTCAACCAGCAATTCTATTTAGTCGTGCCACTTTCATCTTTTATTATTTAAAAAAAAAGGCAAGAGAAATCCAAACCCGAAAAAAGACTGAATACTTAATTCGACATGATAATAGTCTCCTAATTTTTGGATCAACAAAAATTAGCACCATTTTTCTTTCAGTGGATAGAACAGAGTCCTCAACAGAAGATCAAGCATTTAGAAAAGTAAGAAAGTCTAAATGTAGTACCTTCTGGAAGAATTGCACCAACTTGTTTGCATAAGGAATAACTTCATTGATGCGTGCTATGAGACCCGATATTGTATTTAGCACTTGAACCTGAAGTAAGATATAAATAAAATATCCAATACACATTATTTAAGATAATGTACAAAAAATATTTTATAGGATTATACTACACTATCATCACCACATTTAGTTCATAAAAAACATATATGATGCCAAATACCGAATACACCATTACACCCCTATGTTAAACTAGGTATAGTAGCAGAGTAAGAAACATTGTACTTTCAATCAGACATATGAAGCAGAATGAATGTAATTCTGACAGCACAGACAGTGACTGTATATCCCATTATTTTTTTCATACCTATCAACTGAACAGATTAGCATGTGGAGGGAGGGAGGGAGAGAGAGAGAGGGAGGGAGAGAGAGAGAGAGAGAGAGAGAGAGAGAGAGAGAGAGAGAGAGAGTTGTCAACAAATATGACATCAAGATGACAATAGAGGACTTACATGTATCACTTGTGTAAAGTGTTAACAAGGGAAACTAACTTACTTTTGAATCGAACTCTTGAACTTCTTCCACCAATTTAAAACATAGATCCCAGCACAGTGGAAGAAGATCTGAGAAATCCTTTTCGGAGAAATTTGCATCTTCGATGTGGAAATAAAGAGACCTTGATGCTGCCAACTGATGGAGAAATAAATTTAACAAAAAAATGATAAACAAACTGAAACCATGCAAATCTAGGTCAGAAATAGAATGAATCATACCTTAACACACAAGTCTTTCTCCTGAAGTAATTTTATCAAAGCACAATACACTGGTCGTCTAGTGTCATCTTTAATCTGTACATGGAGCAAAAATTAAGGACCAGTTGTGATTTTTTAGAAGTAGTATAAAGAAGAGTGATCATATCATCCAAATATTGACATAGTTAGAATATGTAGATTTCCTACTTAACCCATCCCATATTACATGCAACGGAGAACATAAAAAATCGATGCTAAAATTCGCATAGGCTGTCAAGTGCATTAGTTTTGGAAGTGAGACAGATGGTTGATAGAAAATTTTTAACTATGATCTTACTATTGCATTCACTACTTTTTGAACATCAATAACTACACCTACATTTATGCAAATGGCGGGTTCACTAAAAGTAAGCGCTACAAATCACCATTCCCAATGTTGAAAATACAAATGATACCAGTCTACAAGTGATTTTCAAATGATTTTCACTGTGCTAAGTAGAAGTGAATCACTAGAAAAACACAAGCACAAGACTTTTCAAATATACAAGTATTTGTTTACTGATACCAGTCTCATTTAAACGAACCTTTAAAATTAACGTGCGAAAATTCAAAGCAGAGAAGGCCAAGAAGAAATATATAAATAACTAGTTAGCTTGTTACATGATAAAAAACGCGACGAGTATACCTCTGAAACCCATTGCCCTAATATCAACGCAACTTTCCTGTGGATGAGGAACATGTTTGGATGATCATTCGAGAGCTCAACAGATAATGCGCCATTGAACCTACATGAGTGTCCAAAATGCTCATAACTTCATCCAAAACTAATATGTCAGAAAGTGAGTAAGAAGTATTTGGCTCTGAACACGCAATGAAGACATGGCAAACAGGAGTATTATCATATAACAGAACAAATTGAAAAAGCCACATTTAAAAACAGACTATGGATAAGACTATCAAGAAGAATTAACAAAGAACTCTGCAAAGAATGTCAGGAAAGTGATTACTGGTCAGGAGACATACATCCTTCAGACTAACGATCATAATTGCAACACCTGAATAACATTTTTTATATGCTGGAGTAGCATCATGTTACAGCTTCTGGAAACTAATTGATGACCGACAGTATATCTCCCCCAGCACTTCATAGCTCAGTATGACTACAGAAGTTGCATGGCACTAAATGCATCTTTTTAACATGATTTTTTCCTAGAAGCTTTTCTTTTTAGTTTATGAGTGTGCCTAAAAGTCCCACCAGTCCCCTCCACAATCTTATTTTTCTTAATAGAAATTTAAGAAGCTCATATCATTTTGGAGCGACGTTATATATATGACATATCCACAGCCAGGTGCATGAAGTCATAGTCACAAACACCAAGATTTCTACAGCCAACAGAGTCAACAGGGAAAAGAGTAGAAATACTCAGAGGCCAAGCAGAATATTGGTTTAACAAGAGAACTCACCAGTCTTTAAAGCTCAGATAATTTGAGAGTTCATAAGTGACGTATGCAGCGGCAGTATAAGCAGCATCTTTGAAAAGCAATTCTGGACTGATTTCACTAACAGAAGGACAGCTATTCATTGCTTCTTGAAGAATTGAAACGACGACTGGACCTAGAAGCTACGTCAACGACAACCATCATAAAACACCAGTTCCACAAAAGTACATAAGTCTCATAAAGATCTGTGGAAATTTGCAATGAACATTAAGGAGACCTACTTGGCTGTGATTCTCAAACAAGACGATGTATAATGCTTCAGCACATGGCCTTAATCTTTCCGACCACAAAACAGAATCTTGCTCATGATGAAAAGACTCGGGATTCTGGTACCATTCTTCCACATCTTTTGCAGTTAGGACAAAGTACCTGATTGAAGATGAAAACAGCAATAAGAAATAACAGAAGAAGAACCAAACAAATAAACAAAACCAACACTGATACACACCCAAGAACTCATTCAAAGCACAGAAAAACTAACAATGTTGTTAATCCCACGTCTAAGAGGTCATACAATTCAAGCGATCCAATTTCTGTAATATTGTGTGAGATGTGAAAACTAGACCCTAACATCCCAGAAACTTAAAGAAGAACCCAACCATCAAAATTTAACTGCTCTATCTAAAAAAAAATAATAAAAAAAATCAAATAAATTATTCCAGTTAGACAAGACAATTTTATAATCTTACTATTAAAACACACTGCAAGAATATAGAAAGTTCAAGTACAACACAAAGGCGCTCTAGGAAAATGTCAACCAACCAAAAAGGAACATAAAAATAAACAGAAATTATCAAAAATAATATACAAAAAATGAGGTTCACCTTCTTCAATGAACTACTTACACTTCATGATACACTTACACTACAATTTTTTCATCATAAATACACATCGTAAGACTAGAAAATGGGAGCAGGTATCTATACCCGGCAATACCCATGGTTAAACTCAACCCATCAATCACCTGGTAGTGAAGTGGTATTGAACCAATATAACTTCACAGTTTCATAAAACATGATAACAGGAGTAAGTAAGAAAATATTATCAACCGACAAAAATTATTGTACAACTAACCATAAATACAGTTTACAGGACTGATGTGATAATTGAGAGAAACCTAAATGCTGAAGAAGGCAGTACGCAGTAGCCTTTTCTTTTTCCTGATAAGTGTTAAACTAACCTTTTTATTAAAATATTACACAGTAGAACCACACGATCACTGGGCAGCAGAGAAGATAAAACACCAGCAACTGCATTAGATACATTTTTCTTCATCTCCTGATGTGTAACTTGGTTTTCGCCCATAACACGACCAGTGGAAGATGGCTTGTATTCTTTACATTCTAGGACAGACTTCAACATTGACATACACTGGATCAAGAATTCTTCGAAGGATAATATATCTGGCTCAGGATTTGTTATCTTATTTAAGCAAAAGTCAACGACATTCCAAAGGACGCTCTGGTCACCAAATGAATAAGGATGCCTGTTCTGAGTTGCTATTAAAATCTTCAATAATTTAGTGCATGCTTTCTTCAGGAATTCCCAGAATTTAGGGTGTGTCTCTCGAAACGATGAATCTGCATAAATTGTGAATTAGAATCCAGTAACATCCAAAGAGATAATATGCACTCTCTCTTGATTAAGTCAACCTAGAAATGAGAGGGTAAACGGAATTCCAGATAACCAGACTTGGGAAGGAGAAGATGGCTTTATACAACAACTAAAATTTGATGGCACCCTCAAATTAAAGTATGGGAATAAGAAGAGAAAACTCACAGTAAGGAAGAAATGACTGGATGGCATTCAACATAACAGGACAAACCTTCTTGACAGGTTCGACTTCCTGCAAGGTAATATAACTCCAGTGTCACAGAATGTTTGATCATCAGACACAAATATTGTAGGGCAAAGAGGAGGGAGTTTGAGAGGATGATCGACAAAGGGAATGCAATTGCAGCACAAGATTCATAATAATAACGAATGTGATCTTTACCTGCATGGACTTTGAATCACTAGGGAAACCAGAAATGATCAGTTGGCGTACTATCTTTGAACATAGTAACCATCTTTCACAGGTCAGGAAAATATCATCATGATTCAATTCTGTAGCATTTTGAGCAACTGCTGAAAAATAGTGCAATATATTCTGCACATCACTCTGCCAAAGGTGCCAGCTGTAATCAAAGAATTGAGATGCTATCTGCCAAATGAGCAACAATGAACGTATCCCGTGAACAAGCGAATTAATGTGTAACTGAGATGGGAATCAGCATCGCAATACAAATTATGTAAAGTCCTCATGATGAACTGAATAGAAATTGCTCAAATTCTCGAGAAAATGAAACATCGTCGTAAGAAAGAAAGCGGATATAATTTGATTCAGCTAAAGACCTATAAGGACATTTATTCCAAAGATTCTAGTCCTACAGTAGAAGATATAACTTCAAGCAACATGAACCCTAGAGAACCAAAATCAATCATATCACAAGACTTATGACCCCCAACTCAAGCCCATATTCCACAAAACCCATAAGTTTGAAGAGATAAATAAAGTGAAATCCAGAAGAAACAGAGATTAAACATATAAATATAACTTCATCAACAGTCTTAGATCACTACAAATCCCTTTGATCACACTACTCCGTGGTTTCCACATACCTCAAGATCCATGTACCAAATTTCTCATCCATCTGATAATAGCTTCAACAACAGTGGCAAATATACAAATAATTTCTGAAAATAAATACATTAATTGTAACATGCTCACCTCAGTATAGGTTCTCTGGTCAGGGGCAAGACGTTTGGTTGACAACTCCTTTAGAATCCGAAAAAGAATCAAATATATTCTATGAGAGGTCAATATATCGGCTGACTGAAGTTGTTGTGCTAATGCAGAAAGCAAGTCTGGCCTGTGTATAAAAATAGGATTCAGGAGAGCTAATTTATCAGCGTAAAACAAACAAGCATAAACTAGAGAAGCGCATTACAACAGTACATTACTCAAATGTAGCTGGTGCTAGCACCACCAAAATAATACTACATCCCCATGAGTGAAATATATTAAAGGATTAATACCACTATTAAAATGTGTGAAATATCTGCAGTAACGGAAATCCAGTGAGAATTCAAATATACCAACTACTTGTAGAAATGCTAAGATATCACAAGCCTTAATATAAAGATGGCTCAGTCAACTGATTGAGTTTTACAATTAACCAGCACAACCAAGTATAAGAAATCAACATTAGAGTGAATATAGGATTATGTTAAGGATGCAACTACTGGGGATCTTTCTCCGTGATTGAAGAGAGCTTGTTAAGCAAGAAAATGCACACGGAAGTCTTTCACTATTTTCACGTCACTAGTACTTCGATGACACACAGAAGCATACCATTCCTTCGGGTAGTCAAATCGAGCAATCTTTGAGATCAGAACAGCCAATGTAAGTGATATCTGTGCCGTAACCACATTAAAACATATCATTAAGTTCTAAGTGGTGGTTGTTGAACAAAAATAAGTGAGACGATGATGGTGTGAATAAGAAAATCCCAAAACAAAACAAAACAAAACAAAACAACACCAGTCCTTATCATTGAGTAAATAGACCAACCCAAATTCTGGTAGTTCAACATAGTTGGCTAATTTCACCGACATGTATAAAAGTAAAATAAACGATACCTGATAATTTTCTTCTCTTAAATGTGACAACAACTTTTGCCTCAAATGCACTTTCTCTTCATTACTTGTTCCCCTACAAAGTCACTTCATAGTCAGATCAAATCATCAGGCAACATACAAACATCGGGTAATCACACTATAGTGGCGAAACTGCTCTCAGTATCTCCCGAACACCAAATGAGAATGGAAAAAATGCAGACAACCTTACATGCCCGTATGACAGCAAGCAAGCACTTGGAGAAATTAAGCACCCTTTTGTCAGTGATAAGTTCAGAAGTTAGTATATCACCTGATCTAATAAGCACATACGCATGCCAAAACATTCATATCAGCATCAGTTTTCAGCAATATTTCATTTGTCCAACACGAAATAATATTATTATTACCCATAGCATTTTCCCACGCACATTAGATGCTATCGTTAATTCACAGTCGAAGGAAGACCACCAGTAAATACTAAAGCTAATACACATCACTAGTGGATGACACAGAAAATATTGAACATGAGCTTTCCCCATCCTAAAGTAAAAAAGAAAAAAAAAAAGAAAAAAAAAACTAAATGAGCACAAAACAGTGAAATTACTAACACTGAATCACGCCTGTGCCTCCAGTACCGATTGATGCTGTTCTTCAGATAAACCGACGCCATTAATCTCACATCCGTCTGCCCCGCCAAATCTTTGGCCGTTATCACTTCCTGCACCATACTCAGAAAGAGAGTTAAAGAACATCAAGAGCTTCAAGCTGGCACAAGCATAAGTGATAAGCAACTGAACAGGAATTCAAGAGATTAAAGCTGCCACAAGCACGAGTCACAAGCAACTGCACATGAATTAATAGCTTAAAGCTGCCACAAGTCACAATTAACTGAACAGGAATTCAAGAGCTTAAAGCTGCCACAAGCACAAGCATAAGTCACAAGCAACTGAACAAGACAAGAACCTCAAGCTGACACAAGCAGAAGTCCCAAACAACTGAACAGAAAAACCAATCTCAAACGCTTTCATACCATGAGGCAAGAGCAAAAGCCCGGCCTGCTCTCAAACTGAGCGAGTGAATCCTCCGCCGGCTTGCGGACATTTATGTCGACGCTCAACGAATTAGCGAGCAGTGAGTATATCGCGGGCAAGTCCGAAACAGAAAGCGCCATGAGTATTCTTCGACAAACCTAATGATGCTCAGGAAAAAACGCACCAGCGGGAATGGCAAAAACCTTACTGTCCGTCTATGGCGAAAAGAGTTGAATGAACAATCATTTTTCAGATCGATGTGTTGACGGTGAAGAAATGCGATAGCGTGGTCGATTTGAGGGCGTGCTTCGTAGTGTTTTTCTCAGGCGACGGCGGTAATTGGGGTGTCTCAGGCGAAGGGTTTGGCGGTGGTGAGGCGGAGGAAGGGCAAACACTGTCTCGTCCGGCTGAGCTGGAAAGAGTCACTTTGTTGTCACTGCGATTGGTCTTCCATTTGTGTGACACTTCTTCATATATAACTAGCGCGTAGCCCATTCAGTAGTCATTGTTACTAGTACAACACCCGTGTACACGAGTGCTTGTTAAAAAATTATTCTTAAATTTTAAAATTAATGAGAAAATTATATTAAATTTAGTTTATTTTTTTAAAAAAAAATATATTACTATATATTTTAAAATGATATGTGTTACTTATGACTTACATGTGTTATATTATATTAGTTTTTATAACTTATATCATATAACTACTTGAAATATAATATATTAGTTGATAAATAATTTTATTTTTCTAAAAAATATTAAAAATAATTTTATAATTGTTATAAAGATAAATATAAATTATTTTTTTATACATACAATATGGATATTAAATCAAAGCTCATCAAAAAAAGATTAATTTGATATATTACATATGTAAAACTGATAAAAAATACAAAAGTTATTAACTTTTAAAATATATATACAATTCAATAGTTATAATAAGGATGATATTAAAATACAGTTAATACAAGTAACATGACCATAAATAATCAACATATTTATGGTAATCCGAACCTAATTATTTTTGGTTTGAAATTAAATTAAAATTTACCCAAGCCTAATAACGAAGCATGTAATTTTGCCACATAGGATTCCGAAGCACCAGAAGCAGCCACATAGGCTCAGTGCATTCTGTATTAATATATAGGGGATGTTAGATAATAAGGTGAGACATAAGTTAACAACATATATATTAATATTTCAAACCCTATCGATTCTCAGTGAGGAAAACAGACTCATCAGACCAATGTGCGATAAAGATAGACATTGACTTTTATTTATCGTCATAGCATAAGAAACCATAAGTGAGAATTGTCGTCTCTGGAACTTGAAAGATATCTTCACATTGGAAGAGTTAAGCATCATCCGAGGAACCAATATCTTATCACCATCATGATCCCATCCATTGTAGGAAGATGATGCCAAGATGTCTACAAAATATTGATTCGCCAATTATCTACTAAAAAGTTCTTTTTGTGCAAGTAATAAAAATAACTTTATGTAACTAAATATGCAATAAATATATTATTTTATTAGAAGGACATTAAAATATAAATAATGTAATTATAGTAAAATTTGAATGCTTGTTGAAATGTATTAAGTAATAGTTTGTTTTTATTACATTAAGTAATATTGGTTGGTGGATAATAAATAATTATTCATATAAACAGTAAATAATAAAAATTAAATTTTTTGTTTCTTATACATAGAATATTTGTCTACAAATTACTTCAACTTCGTCTATCCCCAGTTATTCATTTCGCTCAATGTAATCTCTCCTTTCTGAATCTTTCGCGTCTAGTCTCACAGGACCTCCTCTCCCTTTGGTCGCAAAGCTAGGCCATTCCGTTAGAGCTGTTCTGACTAGTCTGCATCCCGTAAGAAAATGAAAACGAAGTCAGATCCTATTGATCTCTTATCGGCAGTGGGATCAACTAATAACATTTTTTATATGATAAAATAGAATACTTGTAAATAATGTAGTAGAATTGTTATAAATAATATGTATTATTTTGTTTTCACAATTTAAATAATAAAAAAAAGTTTTAAAATAAAATTCATTACTTATTTTTATTAATCATAATTAATTTGCAAAAAACTTAAATGCAAATATTGTCACTAATAATATTGGCTTGTTATAAACTAAAAAACACATTTTATAATTAAATTGGGCCAACATGAGTAATGTTAATAACCCGACCCATACATATACAATTTAGCGGGCTTGTTTGGCAAACAGGCTACAAATAATTCAATGACCCAGCCCAAGTTGAAAACCTACAATATAATCCGACGACTTAGATTAACTCAACAAAAATCAAACGGCCTTGAACGATAGCAGGACTGGTAAATTTCTCCCTTTCGGGAAGGGGTTCGTTTTGGACCGAGCCAAAATTAGTATAAAACAATGATGCTAAAAATTATAGGGTTTGGTTCATTTACGTGAGAATCTCGGCCGCTCGAAATAATCTCGTCTGATTTTCTCTCATTCTTCAATAATTTCCATTTGATCAAATTTGATTTTTTTTATTTTTTTTTTCGACGATTGGTAGCCTGAGATAAAATATGGAAATCGATTAGTATGGCAAAACCCATAATTTTAAGGAAATTTAATGCTGACTGTAATTGGTGGCCCACAATTATGAAACTTACCCCAAAATATACAACTTAGGCATATGTATATACAGCCCAAAAAAAAAAAAAAATCACTTATTATCGGCCCAAACATTAGTGACAAGATATGTGCATTTTGGCCTAATGAATTATAAAAATCTATTAATGTAAAAGGCCCATAAGTAAGGCATGTTATTTACTTCCACGTGTATCTGATGTACAACATCTCTAACGGACAGTCACAATTAGCTCAAACCGATCGAACGGTTTACAGCTATTTTCGCCAAGTATAAAGTTTTTTTCCACCGGGTTATCTTCATTTTTCTACGCATTTTCCTTCTTCAACCGCTTAATTTCAATTTTTTTTTTTCGAAAATCATAGCAAAATTGTGAAACAATTACGCAGAAAAATGAAGATCGTTACTCGGATCTGTTGGATCTTACATGTTTTTGCAAGAAAAAAATAAGTTTTATTGGTCAGATATATGTATCTGTACATATCTATACTTATGAAATCTATGTTATCGGTTCAAAATATATGTTCCCGTCGTAAAAATGACGTTTTTTTTCAGATTTAAGCTCGTTTTCAAAGGAGGACCACTGTTTTCATTTTTGTCCGAAAATAAAACACAATTTTCTGTTCAATTCGATGAAGAAACGCGTTTATATTGCAGAATTTTTTCAGATCCGACGAAATAAAATGCTTTTTTTTTTTCAGAAACGAACAAAGATTGTGCGTTTATTTCGGTTCCAACGAAACTTGTTCGAAACAATTATTTTAATTTGTGTGTTATGCAGGATTTACTCTAATTAAAGGTATTGCTTTGTTTGCCCTACCGAAAGCCTTGCTGAAGTTATTCGTAATTGGAATGAAGAAAAGGTGCGCAACTCAAACTGAAAAATAATTATCGATATTTGATTTAAATTGAAAAGTTTTTTGTAGAAAAATAAAAAACACATAAATAAATTCGACTGAATACTTAAGTTTATAATTTTATTAGTAAAAATTTGAAGAGCTTATATTTTTACTTACATTTCGAACATAAATTGACAGATTCAAGTTACAAAGTTTTGTTGTAGTTAATTGATTTATATGATTGTCAATTTTTTTAAAGTTTTTTTTTTATGGAGATCTAGTTTTTTTTTTTATGTGTTTTTTACAGTGTTTTTTTAACACGCGTATTTTTTTAGGACATGAATAAGAATATTGATTAAGCACACGTTTTAATTTTATATAGTTAATATAAAAATACTAACTATTAACATTTCCAATATATTATTATATAATTGGTTTGATTCTACATCTATTAATATATAATAAGAATTAACTTAATTCATTTTTAGTAATCTTTTCCTGCCAAATTCATTAATTATTGTCTAAAATTAGTAACTTAACAAACTTTCATTAATTACATATTGTAATATGGAATAGATGTTTTATCCGATTAGAATCTCTATAAATATGGAATAGATATTTTTTCCGATTAGAATCTCTATAAATATGGAATAGATGTTTATTCCGATTAGAATCTCTATAAATATTTACTTAACAAACTTTCTATTATATATAATAGATGTTTTTCCGGTTAGAATCTCTACAATGTGGAATTTAGAATCTATTATGTAAAAAATAATTAAATCTATACTTATATACAAAGCTATCTTATTTACTATAATTTGTAATAAGAAAAGTCAAAGGTAATTAATGTATTATATTTTTATTAAGTATTTTATTTAATTATTTATTTAATTATTTTATCCCATAACACTTTTTTAATACAACGTACCATGATTTTTCTATTTGATTAAAAATCATATTTTAAGTCTAAAATCTTGTGAAATTATTATTGTTATTTTTTTAAAACACATATTATTTGTTAAAAAAATTGTATATATATCTAAATATATATATATATATATATACATTATACACATCACAATACCATGATAGATGATTGAACATGATTTAAATTTTAATCGAACAAAATGTCAATGATTTTAAATTTGAACACACCTTTGTGTTTGACCAAATGTCCGGATGATTTAAAATTGAGCCTATAAAAAACTATTTAAATTTGAACACACTAGAAATTTTATGTACTTTTTTATTTATAAATATATTAAAAGTGGTATTTAATGGTTGTTATATAAATCATTTTAATATATTTGTAATGAATAAAAGTTTGAATGAATAATTTATAATGTTATTCATTATGTTTGCGACTTATGATACACGAACACATAACCACATACATATTTGCCAAAAGGCAGCTTAATAATTTTCATAGATTGTTCAAAACTGTAATGAATTAACAAATCTGGAATAAAAAAAATCATGAAAATGTTTCATACACTGATGAAACGTTACAAACTGATAAAGACTAAAAACTAATATGAAAAACTTTTATGTTTGTTTAGATAAACAACATTGATCCAACAAGTCCATCTTTCCTGTTTGATCAAAATAATAATCAAACTTTATAAATCAATAAGCAAAATATTTGGTCAAATTAATAATCAAACTTTA